CATGGACATGTTTCGACATCTCAGATTGTCCTGGAGCTGTGTATTGTTGTTCCTGTCGTCCTGACGGTGTTCGACTATCACGCTGGGGCTGCTAAATATATCATAAACAATAATATCATATCTCATTACCATGAATATATGATCCTTGATAAGGATTGGTGTCAGATCCTCTTTAATTTCCACCCACCCGCATTTAAGGGAGAATGGCTTGATACTCTTGCTACGTATACTTTTATTGGCGCAAGAAAGCGAAGTAGGAATCGTACATACCTGTGAATTTCTTTCCTTGTTTTGGTCTCTATTTTTATCCGAATTTTGTGACTTCTCATTCTTAACTTGAAGTTTTGCTTTCTGTGTTTTGTTTACATCTCGGGAACGAGAAGTACTGCGTGGTCTGCCGTCATTCTGCTAGAAAAAAATTGATATTATAAGTTCATAAAGGCGCAAACACCAGGACCAATCATTACCAATAGAAGCTAAATACAGTACCTGTGTAACAAAGCTAACCTTTATAAACATAAAATTATTGGCAAGCTATAGATTAATTAATGCAAATTTGCATAAAATTTAAGGCAAAAAAGTTCACAAAACTGAGATTTCTCCCCTCCCGGCCTAAAGTACTTACCTCTTTAGGTTTATCCATACCAGGTTGTGACTTTGGTTCGCCGTTGTCTTTGGTATCATCTTTAAGTCTCATATCATCCGTACGTAGAGGCTTCCCCCTTTCAACTGCCAATGGATCTGGCTGGGTAATTCTTGGTAATTCTGCCGATGCTTCATTGGGAGGTTTTGCAGGCGTGATAGAAAGTGGCTTGGTCCAAGCATTAATTGGAGGTGGTGGCGGAGAGCCTGGTTTCACCAACATCAATGAAACAACACGTTTTTGTTCCACGTTTATTGAAGCCAGGGCAGTACTTGTATTATTTTGGGAAGACTTATTAATTTTGGGTTTTAATATCGCACCCTGCATAATTCTTTTTGTTTCACGTTGCTTTCGTTCTTCCTTTTCATAGACTCTTTCCCTCTGTTCTTTTTGCGTTCTTTTTGATTTCACTTCAACAAAATCACTTCGGGGTGGGGTAGGCTGAAATTCACTTGCAGGCTGTGTAATATCATCAATATCAATGAAGCTAGCAATGTTACTCATATCAACATGTTCAATGCCAATCGTTCTATCAGAATGCCGAGTCGCATCATAATTTCCCCTTCGCGCTCGTCTTTCATCAAAGCTTGATTGCGTATCGAATGCATCCTTTCGTTTTTCTGGCCTAAAGCCTGTTTCATCGTTTCTCATGTGATCAGCATTGTTTGCGTGGTTCTGAATGGCCGAATTCACGGATACTAATTCTTCCGTGCACAAAGCTTCGTTAGCCTTACTCCATTCAATCATTTCCGCGAACTGATATTCTTTTGCAAGACATTCAGCTTTCTTCGCGTACCTAGAGGCATTACCCAAAAATCGAATTCTCTGATCAGGACTGAGTTGTGAAGATCGATAATGAAATATGGCCAATACCAAATAGCGCTGAACATCGTGATACCCACTGAGTGGATGTTCTTCAAAAGCGGATTGATCTACAGCCTCTATGCTGGTCTTTGCTTTACCTAAACTTGCATTGTCTACATTACCCTTGATACGCTGCCCACTTATATTACAGCAAAGGCAAAAAGTGGCCAAACTTATATGTGCCTTCCGTTTCATATCTGCAAGGACGTCAGAAGAATCTTTGACACATTGTAAATGCTCCAGGGCCCTTATTGAAAGAACATCAGGCGAATCTATCTTATTTGATGGGTCCTCTGAATTAATTAAGTCAGTCACAGTTCCAGCAAAAACATATACTATTGCTGTTACCAGACCAGGTTCAATCAGTTCTGCCTTGGACAAAGCTTCAGTCAATAGTCCTGCGAGCTCTTGAAAATCTCCACTTGCACGTTTTAGAGCAGCTTCTAAGTACAATCCCATCACCTCGAAAATCAAACGATCTTGTACTTGCGGTAAAATGGTCTTGTACTGTTCGAGCAAATCACGCGCTTCATTGAAATTACCTGTACGGTAACACGCAGTGACTTTTTTGGACAAAACCAGTAACTTCATCGTATCGCACTCAGACTTACTCTGAAGACTTACACACTCTGTCGGAAAGGTATCCCAATGACCATTACTAATTAGCTTTCGTAAGTCGTCACTGTCAACAGTGAAAGCTCTTCGAGCCTTAGCTGAGCTCCAAGTAATGCGTTTAACAGAACGAGGAATTTCTTCTCTACTACGCAACCAAAATGGATGTAATATTCCTTTTCTCCAAGCAGTGAACGACATCTTGTTAACTCTCCCATTCACCATTTCATAACATTCTGGTTCTTCAGTGAACACACCACCCAGACAAGGAGCGATGTAGATTACGATCACATAGGTTGATGGGATAGATTTGAAGTTTTGATCTACCACCAGGCGGTGGTCGCACTACGACCGCAATGCATTATTTTTTGGTTTTCTTCAAGATGGCGGATTCGGAAGAGAAAGACAGGTAAGTTTTGAATTGATTTTCTATTTCTATTCAGAGTTTTTACTTTGCAATTCTGACTAAAAAGAAAGCTACACATCAGAACGTTATCTCTTCGTACTATTTAAATCGACAACGTTTGGAATTCTATCAAAAATATCATGTCATTTCAAACCCTTTTATTTTGCCCGATTTCAAAGGTGTCTTTATATTTGCATATAGCAGGTTAACTGTGCATGAACCAGGTTCGAATTTCTACTTTATGTGATCTACGATAATTATTCGTGTCCTTTATATGATCGCGCCCTCTAGCGCCCCTTGAATTTGTACCTTTTGGGGACATTCATTTCATGCTATTTTCTGTGCTGATTTTAGGTCTTTCTGCGAAGATCTGTCAAGTTCTACTGCCATGTTGGGAAAGCGGTCATGCATTCCAGAGGGGAATACGCCTGGGAAAAAAAAAAGACAAAGAGAAACGGGAAAGGCAACACAGTGAAAAAGTCATTGTTTGATAATAACATGATTCAGGGAGATGGCCAAAAATTTGTCAATGGTACTGTTTGGGTGACTGCAGAATTGGCTGCATTGGTTCAGCACATATGCTTGTATTGGGATGATGCACACACTGATAAATGGCCAAAAACAAAAAACATGAAATTTTGGAATGAATGTGCGGTATCTGTCAATAAAATGTGTAGTACTTCTCGAACAGGTTGGTTATTTCAATCTCCAGTTGCATATATTAATTTCGTAAATCTATTGTAACAGTTGTAGTTTGTATTTGCATTAGCTGTGTAGATGGTATATTGCAGGTTTCTGTACAGTTAACAGTGGAAAAGAATTTCACTTTTGGTGTATTTTGTTCAAAAGAATTTGATGTTGAAGATTTTTGGAGTTTGCAATTTCCAGAAAAAATCATTAACACATTAATGGGTCATTCCAGAAAACATCCATACCTCCCCCACGGAGGAAATAGGAAG